GGTCATTGTCTGGCATTTGAGCTTAATTGTTTTTCTTCGATTTAAGGGACACATCTACTCAGGTGTGCAGCAAGGTGGCGAGAGGAGGAGAATCAAAAAATCTAGGATATAAAAACAAAAGGTATGAATAAAACTTATTTTTTAAAAAAATAAAGAGCATTTTTTTAAGAAACAAAAATCTACCAGGGGAAAGAAGATCACAGATCTTGAATTAAGGAAGACTTCAGGGGCATCAAATTCAACTCATTTTACAGATGATGAAACTGAGGCTCATTTAAAACGACTTACTCAATATCAGAGAGGTAGGAAGTATCAAATATGGGATTTGAACCCAGGGGGCTCTGATTCTCCAGCTGGGGACCCTTCGTCGATACCACATGATTCTGTTTCCTCCAGAAGAAGCAAGGAAGAGGGGAGTTGGATATGGAAAATGATTTTCAAAATGTGCCTCCATCTGCTTTTGGCAATAATCACTGTCATTGCTATAGTACTCGAACATTTGTCAAATTATATCTATATCTTTATATACTTCTCTATATATTTCTCTATATACATACATATATTACATATACATATATATATCTTATGTGCGCGTGTACTCATAGTCATACATACACACACACTTATAGAATTTAACTTGAGTATCCTAAGAGCTCTGTGACGTAGGCACTCTAAGTATTATTATCTCTGTTTTGGAGTTAAGGAAACTGAGGCTCAATGATGTCAAATGACTTGCCAAGATCACACATCCAGGGAGTGTCAGGGGCACGATGGGAACCTGGGCCTTCCCAACTCTAAGGTCAGCAGACTAACCAGGATGCCACGCTGACTTTTGTAATAATACCAGTTACTGAGATGAGAGACTTCATTTTAGAAACCATCTTCCAGGGTTGGGAACCTGTGACCTGGAGGCCACACGTAGCCTTCTAGGTCCTTGGGTGTAGCCTTTTGATTGAGTCCAAGTTTTACAGAACAAATCCTTCTATTAAGGGGATTTTTTTCTGGGAAGTTTGGATTCAGTCAAAGGGCCGCACTTGAGGGCCTAGAGGGCCACATGTGGCTTTGAGGCTGCAGGTTCCCCACCCCTGGGACAGAAACCAGACAATCCAGACTTGGTGAATTTAGAAAAGAGACACAACACACATGGAATTCACATTCCCAGAGAGCACCACCAAGCCTGAGGGTCACAGTCCTTAATAAATATCCCCTGCAGCTAGTGAGGCTGTTAATGCTGAAGGCTCCCCGTGTATCTAAATCAGTTAGTGGTAAGCTATGCAATTTGGAGCCAAATTGAATTGTGAAGGTTTGTATAATAGGGGCTGCAAAAAATCGAATAGAAAAATGCAGACAAATGTCTCAATGACAAAGGGACTTGATTAAATGGATCGCTAGTGGGGATGGAAACTCTGTTTTCTCTTTGTTTTGTTTTGCCTTTTTTTTTTCTTTCCAGGAGCAGGAGGACGTTACTCAGTCCTTACTGGCTGTCTTGTGATTTTGTTTGTCTTTGGAGAGTACACACTTTAATGCCGTGTGTCTTGTAGAGTCACAACTCCATCAAACTCCGTCTCCTCTCCTGACTCACATGGTGAGTTGCGATCATAAATCCTTATTGTTAATAAGATTGATAATTAAATATTAATATTATGATAATATATGATTCTAGGATAATAACAACAACAAACATATAGGTACATAGTGCTTTACGTTTTACAAATTGTTTTCTTAGTAACAACTCTAGAAAGCCAGAATTACGGAATCACAGAAATTGACACATGGATGGGAAGTCAGAGATCATCTCATCCAGCCTCTATCCCCATCAGAATCCACATCAGAACCTACATGGCAATGGTCCGTCCAATGTCTTCTTGAAGACATCCAGGGAGGGGAAGCCTCCTGAGACAAGCCATTCCATTTTGAGACACCTATAACTGTTTCCCTGATTACTCCCTGATATCTAGCCCAAAATTTCCTCTTTCAACTTCTACCCATTGCTTCTGATTCAGTCTTCCAGGTCCAAACAGAATAATACTGAGTCCAGTTTCGCACAACACATGTTCAAATACTTGAAGACAGCTATCACATCTCCCCTGAGTCTCCTCTTCTCTAGGCCCATCATCCTTAGTTCTGTCAACTGATTCTCATGACATAGACTCAAGACTCTTCAACATTCTGGCTGAGTCCTTCTTAAAATGTGGTGTCCAGAACTGAAAACAATCTGCAGGTGGGATCTGACTACGTACGGAGCATAGAAGGACTGTCAGCCCCTTATTCCCAGAGGCCGAGCCTCAGTGCAACCTCAGTTGGCCAGAGCCTTGTGGCTAGGATTGTACATAAAGAGCTTGGAAGTCATTAAAAGTTCTGGATCTTTTTCAGATAAATTCCTGACTGGCCACACCAACCTTTTTCTGTATTTATGACTGCAAGTTCTCAAAAAACAGTAAGACCTTACATTTATCCCTATTGTCTTTCTTGTTATTTGGTTCATCTTAATTTTCTTCCCTTTCTTGAAAAAATATTTTTTTTGGATCCAGATTCAATCGTACATCATGTTGGCTATTCCATCCAGGTTTGTCTCACCTACAAATTCAAGTAGGATGCTTTCCGTGCCTTTATCCAAATCAATGATAGAAATGTTAGGTAGCACTGAGCCAAGCACAGGTTCCTAGGGGTACTCCCCTGTGGAGCATCTTCCAAATAAACATTGAGCCAAATGCAACCACTCCTTAAGCCTGGGCCATTCCAAGTGCATCTAACTACACTATTGCTTAGCCTGAAACTCTGGGTATATATATTATGGTTTCCATTTTACAGATGAAGAAACTGAGGCAATTCCATCCAATTTACATTTATTAAGTCCTTCTATGTGTAAGGCAGTGAGAGTTTAAGTAATTTTTCCCAGGATAACACAGCTAACAAGTGCTGCAATCAGTCGAACTTGGGTCTTCTAATTCTAGCTGTTGAATGAAAAAAAAGAAAGAAGGAAGGAAGGAAAGAAAGGAACAAAGAGAGGAAGGAAGGAAGAAGGAAAAAGAAGGAAAACTGGTATGGATCATTCATGATATAGGTACATTTGGGTGGGTAATCTTCACTTTCAGATTGGTAGGAGGAGCCAGCTATTTACCTGTCTTGTTAGATAACAGTGATCCCAACACTAGGTGGGGTCATGTTTTGGAAAGTGACTTAAGATGAGCTCTGTAGAACTGGTGAATGAAGTGGCAAGTTGGACATGAAGCATCTTTTCCTGACTATTACCAATGGAATACAGGTAACCAGGGAAACTTTCCATATCATCATGCTTTTCCCACTCATAGGTCAACTAAAAGTATGGAGTTGGTGGTGGTGGGGGTCTTCAGAGACTAAAATCATTCTGAGTGCCTTCACTCCAAATTATGTATATGTGTCAGCAAACCCATTCACACAAAAACAGGATTTAAAGATCAATGCTAATTCTATATTTCCATCCAGATCTGCGATTTTGTTTGGACTGTGGACCACCCATTGTAAAAATACCCTAGGGATGGAAATTGGCAGCTCTTCTAGGGATGTTGTTTGGTAGCTCTTTTAAAAGAGATCTTCCTGAAGTTATGGAGAGACTTAGTGACTTTCCCAGGGTCACAGAGATTGCATTTGCCAAAGACAAGACTTGAACACAAATCTTCCTCGATTCCAAGCCTGGGGCACAATCCATCATTCCAAGATCTCTCTAGATGATATTCAACACAGTGATGCTGTGCTTATATGGACCATATGTTGGGATCTCCCATAAACTGAAGCTGATCATGTCAGAAAATAAAGCACTTCTTCCTATTAAGGGTTTAATTAATTCTTCAGTAAGGGAATAAGGAGAAAAAGATTCTTTGAAGAAGGATATAATACTATATATATATATATATATGTACATATATATATACATATGTATGTCTATTCATAAACACAGAGAATTTTAAAATTCTGGAGGTTGGCTTGCCCTAGAATCCTAGGATGGAACATTAAAACTCATCTACCCAAACTGACATGGCCATTTTATCACTGTCTCCTTCCTCTTCTTTTAAAGGTTCTTCTTTTAAAGGTTAGGAATAAAAGGGTAGATGTGTATATAAAGATAGCAATTACTGTAGGCCACAGGAGACCTCTATAAAAGTCCTCTTTTCATCAGCACAGCAAGGTGCCCCTTTAGTCCTGAAGATTGCCTTGGGAACATATGCTCCAACAGGTCATAGTAAAGGCTGGAAGAGATCTCCAAGACCATCTAGATCAACCCCATCTTTTTTCAGATGAGAAAACTGAGGTCCAGGTGTGTGAAATGAGTTGCCCAAAGTCACATACAGAGTAAGCATGAGAGACAGGAGTGGAACCCAAGTTCTTTGACTTCAGTGCCAGGTCCTACCAATCTGGAAAGCCCACGAGTCTGTACAAGGCAACTGAAAACACCTTGTGAATGCCAGTGGAGAAGTTTGGAAAGGCCTATTGCCAGAGCACTGCTCACTAGGTGATAATTTTTGGGTGGGGTAGGAGGGTGGATTTTTTAATGAGTCACACCAACCCATATGAGCTTAAGAGACCTTGATTTGTATTGGTGGGTGAAGCTGATCTATCTCCCCAACAGTGAAATCAGGGCTCATTACAGTATCAGAATGAATGAGAGAACACATCACTAAAGCTTCAGGGCCTAGACAACCACATGGATATGTGCCTTAAGCTATTTCTATCTGAATGTCGACCTTTGTTAGGTAGTTAAGATGGCAAGGTTTCAGGATTTTGGTGTGTTATCCCATTAACTGACAGGAAGTTTCCAAGACCTGTGAATCTTTTCCTTCTAAATGAGGGCCAATCTTTGCCTCCTGGGAAGGTCTGGCCCTTGACTACCTCATTACCAAGCTGTATGGACCTGTCAGATACCACCCTGTGGGATGCGAACTTCTTGGCCAAAGATCCTGCCACTCAAAATGCTCTAGAAACATGCTGTGCTGGGAAATGGGAAGAGGCCATTGGATACTTACACTCACAGGCTGACTTTTTGGCACATCATAAACTCCCTCCTTCTTTTGGCTGGTAGGAACCTGATGAAGAATCAAAGAAATACAGTTAGGACACTTTTTAAAAAGTGGTTTGTAAAACTTACAGTGCTATGTAAATGAGAGCTATAAAAATAATAACAACAATTATTTCCAAACAACCAAATGAAATCTCAGTGCTCAGCCACAACAAAGAAGGAAGAAGGAACAACAGATGTCTTGCTGGGAGAGGATGCTGGTTTTCCCCAAGAGAATATGGGTGAGGGGCAAATTGCTAAGTGGTTACTCAATCAATAAACATTTATCAAGCACCTTCTCTGTGTCAAGCATTGTGCTAAGTCCTCAAAGTGTGCTAAGCGGTATAGTGAATAAAACGTTGGGCTTAGCCTCAGGAAGACCAGAGTTCAAATTTGGCTTCAGATACTAATGAAATGTGTGACTCTGGGCACATCATTTGACATCTCTTTGCCTTAATTTCCTCACCTATAAAATGGGGATAATAATAGCATTTACCACAGGGTTGTTAAAAGGACCAAGCACGATGCCTTATTTACATCTTTTGCAAACCTTAAGCAACTGTGCGGTATAAATGTTAGTGATGATGATGATGATGGTGGTGATGATCATGATGATGACAACGATGACCCCAAGGCATCACAGATTTTGAGCTAGAAGGCACTTTAGAGGCCACTGAGTCCAGGCCACTCCCATAAGAACTGACATTCGGACCCGTGTCTTCTTGACTCCAAGTCCAATGTCCTCTCTAGTTCACCAGACGAGCTCCTTCAGGGTCCTGCACTTTTCATGGAGTCAACGGATCCGAGAAATAGAGTCAATAGAGCTATTGCAATCACTTCCAAGGTGTAGGAGCTGATGCCTAGGAAGTGTAGTAATTTACTCAAGGTCATTCAGAGAAAAGACCCTTAACTTATCAAGGATGGGAAGAGATGTTAGGGTTTAGACAAAACCAAGTGAATTGCTCAAACCCTGCTACAAATGGGAACTCTTCCAATGGGTCATCCTGTTAGGGTCATCTCCAAAAAGACTTCTATACAATACATGTATTGGGCCCAGATGACTTCTCAGACCCCTTCCCACTTCAAGACTCTAAGAGTCTGTGTCAGTATATTAAGGGTTCCTCATGTCTTTTTCTTGGTTATTGAGAGAAACCACTAATCATCAATTTATTATTAGCTAGTCCAATTTATAAACTGATTATTAATCACCCAGATATGCTATCCCTTGGGATTTTTCATTCGTCACACCCTATTCTCAAAGTTCTTATGTGCTAATGGGGGGGGCAATGAGTACATATAAGCAGAATAAATATAATCTTAATAAATACAAACACACATCCACATATATCCCTCCTTCCCTCTCTTTCTTTTCTCTCTTTTCTCTTCCCTTCTCTCTCTTTCTCTTTCACACACACATGCACACACACACACATGCCCATGCACGCACACACACGCACACACACACACACACATACCTGCAGGACAGTGAGGAAAACTCTGGATTTGTGGTAAGAAGCTCTGGGCTCTGGTCTCTGGCTCCTGCACGGCCTGAGGGCCTGTGACCTTGGTCATGTCCCTTAACTCACTTAAGCCTCAGTTTCTTCGTGTCTACACTGTAGCCCTGCCTACCTCACAAATAACTTCTAAGGGCCAGATGACACAAGGAATGTAATATACCTATGCACTGCAGAACAATTCAGGGACCATTGTTTCTACCTCCCTCCCCCTTAAGCTGCAGCTTCTGTTGGCCCAGTGAGAAAGCCCCGATGTCCTGGGCCTCATCAGGAAGTCACTTCCCCATTAGCAGGTAATTAGGCACAGTGCAAATGTGGATAAGCCAGAGCTGCTGATCTACCAGCTGGCTACTCGTCTATTTCCTTATCTGTAAATGTGTTACATGTATATTCACTATCCACCTTGAGTGGCAAAATGGTCCAATAGAAAGAGCTCTGGTTCTGGAGTCAGAGGATCTGGGTTCAAATCTTGCCTCTGTCACTAGCTGTCTATGGGACCCTGGGCAAATAACTTCATTCCTCTGGTCCTGGGCTCCTTATCTGCAAAGTGAGGCATCTGGACCAGGTGGCCTCCAAGGTACCTTCCGGCTCCATCTTGGGTCACAGAATTGTTGATTTTGTAGTTGAAGGTTGGAAGGGACGTTGGCCGCCATGTCATTGAACCATCCCTACAGCCCAGCTGGTTCAGTCAATAGAGCATGGGACTCCTTCTTTCAGGGTTCTGGGTTCTAGCTCCAGTTGGCATATATCTTTTTGAAGATAACAGATGGAGACACTAAACTGACATGAGAGCGGGTTAGGGACTTGGGATGTGATTAGGACAGGGAACTCCCAGGTGAACAAAGACCCTCCAGTAATGCAGGTAGGTACTTTCTCTCCACCTCAGTCTTAGAGGGTCATCCAGAGCACTGATGTCAAAGTCAAATAGAAATGTGGGGCACTAACCCACATGTAAGAATCTTTGCAGGCTGCATATTGACTTAATTTTAAAAGGAAACATTATCTGCATTTTACCTATTTTTATTTATTTCATTAAATATTGTTAAATAGTAATTTAATCTGGTTTGGGCCATACTTAGGAACATTGCCTGTGGCCTTTGGGTCATGTGTTTGACGCTTCTGCCTGAGAGCTTTGAGAATTCAAGTGACTTGCCCAGGGTCACTCAGCCAATATGTGTCAGAATCAGGATTTGAACCCAGGCTTTCTTGGCTCTGCTGCTCTCTGTCTCTTCACTATATTAAACTGCTTCTCTGAAGGGAGACTGAAGCTAAGTCATGTTCTTTTTCCCAGCAGGGACCTGCCTTATGCCAAACTGTTAGGGACTGAACTAAGATTAGACTCACACATCTGCATCCTCAGCTCTGTGTCTCTTCCTAATAAGATGAAGGAAGCAAATCATTTGTGAGTTACTGAAAATATACCATATTCATATTCATTTTTCTCAGCTGCTTGGGCTTCAGAATTAGGGTGAAAACCCTGTGCTTCAATCCCAAACTGATGGAGGATCCTTTAAAGTTGCACTCTGTCCCTTGGTAACTCTTAATTAAACTCGGATTTCAAGTGGGCCTTGCTTTATGTAACACGCATCGGCTGCAGAGCTGTACGTCAGTCATGTGCTCTAGAAGTGGAATTGTTTTAATGAACCAGAATCACTGGGTTTTGCAAAGGAACAGCAAGGTGCATTCTTGTTTGGGGTGAAGAGCCCTGATGGTACAGCCATTGAAGCTCATTATCCATCAGGGTGTTTCTCTAGAGGTGTCCTATGTTCCAGGGTCTCAGAAGTAGGACTAGACCAGATCTCAGGGCTGCCTAGTCCAAACTTTGCATTTGATAAGGTAAGGTGAGTCCAGACCAGTTAAATAATGTGCCCCAGGGTATGTGGTAACCCAGGGACACAACTATGATTTAAGATGAAGTCCTCCTGACGGTAGGTGTGGCCCTCCCTATCCGCCCCTGGAAAACCTGCTTAAAGTGGGACACCCTCCTATGAATAACAGCAGAAATGAATGCAGATGGCTGGAAAAAGATTGTAGGACACAGAATGTAGAACACAGACTGTTAAACTACAGAATGCCGAAGCTGAAATGGGCCTTGAATATTATTATTATTATTGTTATTATTATTGCATTGATGAAAATGATGATAACAGCTAGCAAACATTTGTACACTGCTTTAAGGTTTATAGAATGCTTTAAATATCTTATCCCATTTGATCCCCACATCAACCCCGAGAGGTAGGTATGTCATTATTCCCTTTTTATTGATGGGGAAATGGAGACTGGAAGACAAAAAGTGACTTGTCCAGGGTCACAAAGCTAGTCCTTTGATCATGGAAAGCTAGAACTGGAAGGAATCTTAGAATACAGAATGCTAGAACACAGAATAAAAGATGTCGGGGTTGTGAGGGACCTTGGAACACAGACTGTCATACCACCAAATGCCCAGTGACAGAGCTAGCAGAGACCTCAGACCATCAGAGTTAAAAAGGATCTAAGAGAGTCTCTATTCTAAAACCCCCATTTGACAGCAGAAGGTAAGCAACCTATCCAAGTCAGTGAGTGGCAAATTGCAATCTTGAATCCATAGTCCCTGAATCACAGTCTGGTGCTGTCACCAAGACTCCAGGGTGCTACTTCAGATGAACCATTAACAAATCATCCCCAGACTCACTCATATCATTAAACCATGCATCAGAAATACTGAAAGGGCACATCCCTGTGTGCCTGTGCCTTGTGGAAAGAGAGGTACCCCTTCCCAATTGGGGGGGGTCTACATTCTTGAGGTCTGGGCTCTGCAACAGTGGTAAGTGAGACGGCAAGTATTTGGATACCTGATAAATGTTCTCTTCCGTTTCAGGCTCACGAATTGGCTCATGTCCAGCCTCAAACACAATGTACTATTGGATCGTCATCCAAAGAAGAAAGGTCAGAGATGGAAAAGAAAGGGAGAAAAAGACCATTTGGAACAGGAGATCAATCAGGCAAGCATTAAAGACATAGATACAGAGCAAAGGCTTAACAGAGACCAGGCGGTCCAGGGAGAAGCGCAATCAATGAATGGCTAACAACAATCAGATTGTTTTTGAAAGAAAAGCAGTTGCAAAAACCTGGTAGCACTTGAAAGATGAGGAGAATCCATCTCCTGCTACCTTCTCACCCGAGATTCAATCTGGTCTACTCGCTAGTGTTTTTATTCCTGGGACTCTGAGCAGGGACGTTACGCCACCACCAGACAAGTTCATGTACTTAGGTGGCACAATTACGTTCTTATTTAACACAGGGACAAGAAAAGTCCTCCCCTGCCCCCTCCATCTTTGTTACTATTTCTGGTATAAGCTTCTGGAGCAACAAGGAAGCATATAGAAATGGCAAGTGACTTCAGTCTTCTGAATGTCACTTTTTTACTTCTTCCAAATTGAAAATATAGCATTAACTGGCAATAGGGTACCCCTGAAAATAGCCTGCATTGTCAAAGAGTAATCTCTTTGAAAGAAAAACAAAAACAGATTTATAGGTATAAACCTAACACTATCAGATTTTGTAGTTGTTATTTTGGGTTTGGAAAATACAAGTTTTTTAGGGGAAAAATGAAACCTTTATATTTCAACCAATGCAACAATTGTACATCAGTTTTAGATTTTCAATTTATCATATAGATTTTTTTTTAAAAAAATGATTGCCTAAATTAACTGTAAAGGACATATGAGGAAAGATGCTATCTACACCCGGAGAAAGAATTGATAAATAGAAGTATATAAAGAATAATTTTACACATATAAGTATGTATTGTGTGTATGTGTGCGTGTGTGTGTGTAATGGTGGTCATCTCTAGGGCGAGGGGAGGAGAGAAGAAAAAAAGGAAAAAAAATAAAATTTACATGATAACTTTGTGGTATATTTAAAAAGGAATAGCAAGTTGAACATCGTGGATTTGCAGTTTCATGTGCAATCATCTTTTTATTATACTGTATTTTGGAAATAATTGTTTTATTCTAAAAAATAAAAATAAAATACATTTTAAAAAAGATTGCTGTTTAATCTATAAGATCCCAGTTGTGTATTAGCATGAATTACAGGTTGGATGGGGTGGAGTTGTGCTGGCCATATCACTGTTAAATGCCTTACATCTATAAATTCTAAAGCAATTTTTTAAAAAAATGATCAAATAGATGTGTCTTGAATAGAATACAAATCAATTTCGTACTTGGATGCAGGAGAGGAGAACTCATTCACCTCAATGTTGCTATTCTTTTTCTCTGCTCCTATGAACTGTTGTGTCCATTATGATTTAAGGCTATGTAGCCAAAGACTCCAAAGAAACCAAGCACAGTGCAATCATCTATTGGGGAACAGGTGACTATCCTTTCCCTATTTGAACAATCCCACCAGGGCTGCCCTTTGCTGCTTGTGTGAGCCAATTGGCCAATCTTTGCCTCAGGGAATCACCTGTATTATTTTTCTAATGAACAAGGAATACTAACCCCACTCTTAAAAATATTCAGCTCCTGGTACAGATTTTAAAAGCAATGTGGGGGTGGAGAGAGGAAAGGGAGAAAGGGAAATCTCTTGCACTCAGTACTCCATGATTGATATTTGGATATGTTCATTTTTAATAGCCATCTTTTTTGAGATTGGCAGGTTCTTAAGCTCCCTGAAGAGTTTTTAGACTAGCTCTATTCTTTCCAATCAGGGGTCATCCCTCTGGACCACTGACGGGTAACAAGCATAGCATCGCTCTAGTCTAGCCTAACTTCTGGTGACTTTGTAAACCCGCAAAGCTTCCAAAATTACCTGGTACACGGGATCTTCTACATCCTCCTCCAAAATTGTCTACCGCAGAGTCAGAGAAGGGAGGGCAAAAAGCAAAGGATGAAAAAAGAAGAGATGTGAGACCACAGCAAGAAATTAAAGGACTGCAAAGAAACCAGCCTTTGGGAGGAGAGGTGTTTCTGAGGAGGAGCAGCTGAAAGGTGTGGAAAAAGCCCAAATTCTTAGAACCTTCCCCTCCACGCCTCCCTCCCTCCCTCCACTTCCCCCATGTCATTCCAGATGGCAGCTCTGACAATTGAATTTCTTTCCTTCCCACTAATAGCACAAATTGGTTTGAAGATTTCGTTGGTCTCTTGACTTTATCTCAAAGCTCGATCACCAACAGGAAAGAGAACGTCAGGCCATGGAGAGCCCCCTTACAATAGCCTGCTTCTGCCCAGGTTATTTACACCAAGGCTCTCATCAGGCACTGGAAGCAATAGCTGACAACTTCACATCTGCTCACTCAGAGCTTCCATTTTTGTGGGCACCGGGCCAGATGTGCAGATGTACCTGGTATACTGCCTGCTCACACTGTTTGTCCTTCTGTGCCTTCTTCTCCAGCTCTTCTCTCTGTTTCAATTCATAAATGAGCTGAAAGAGATCACGAAGGTCCAGGATCACAGGTTCCGCCTGCAGAGAGACAAAGTAGGAGGCCCACGTTAAGAATGGAATAACCCCCGTTGGGCAGTGACCAAATTCTCTCCCTGCTGGCTCCAACCTTCAGAAGCTCATTTTATTATTAAGTTGAAAGCACTTCGCCCTAAATTAATTCTACCTTGTTTATATTGGCTTAGCAAATTGCATCTGGGCGAAAGTTCATTCCACTAGCTAATTATATTTGCAAATTAATAATAATCATAATTATATACATAAAAGGTGTTGCTTTTTGTTTGGTAGTATCTTTTAGTACAGTGAAATGAGCATAGGCTCTTTGTAAAAGAATTCTTTATTTTCTCTTGCTTTCCTTTTTTTGTGGGCGACTGTGAACAGAAGCAAATTTGTTTGTATACAATGAGTGTATCAGTTTAATTAGAAAGAAAAATAATTAGTCATTAGGAGATGTGAATGGAGAAAAAACATGGAGGTAGGAAGAGAATGATTTCTTCCTGAGGGGTGCTTAGATGCTGGTGAGGGCACCCTCTGGAGGAAAGAGGGTTGGGGGGGCAATGGCATACACCATATGGTGAAGATGAAAGAGTTTTGGATGTGGAGGTAAAGGACCTGGGCTCAGATTCCAGTTCTGTTACCTGTGTGACTTTAGGCACATTATTAAACCTTTACCTTCTTCCTCAGTAAAATTAAGGATTGGACTAAATGATTTGTGAGGTCCAACCAAATCTACAGCTATGGGACGCAACCTGGCAGGGGCAAAAGAAAGGTTAATTTGAAGTCTCAGGTTGACGATTTGAATCCTGACTCTGCCTCTTATTTCCTGTGTGAACTTGGGGAAGTTACTTTATCTCTCTGGACTTCCACTTCCTCACCAGGAAAACAAGAAGGCTGGATGAGATGGACTCTGAAATCCCTTTTACTTCGAGATCCATGATCACTCCACCTATCAAGGCCAACAATATGTCCATTCAAATAGGGACTCATTCAATGACTGAAATAGGATTTAGAGGTAGAAGAACTTTAGCAGGGAGGTCAGCCCAGCTTTGTTATTTTACATATGAGGAAACTGAGGCCCACAGAGGTTGTGACTTCCCCAACATCATACAGGAAGTAAATTGCAGAGCCAGGATTCAAACTCGGTATTCTTGACTCTAAGCCCATCTTTCTTAACTCTGCACCATCCTGCCAACCCCAAAGTGAAAGGAAAAGGCACTGATGCTTCTAGGTAGTTGCCGGTGGAGCAGGATACTCACTGCCTGGGCTGTTTTGATGGCCACGAATCTGTGGTTTCCTTCCTTCCCACAGACATATCCAAAGGCTCGGTGGTCTGTGATATCCTTTGCAATGTAGGAAATTTCGTGCACAGCATGATGATGCTGGAGTGCCTAAGAGAGAGAGAGAGAAAAGTTCTTTCAGACAGCAGCCTATCTGATATGCAAAGTATGATGGGAAAGTTTTCGCCTCCATGACGGTGGACCTTGAGGAATTCAGCAAAGTTTTGGGGATCAGACAGGAGGAAGAGAATCTTAGAGGAATTCTGAGATGATCCTGTAGATGTAATATTTTGATCAGGTTAAGAGAAATGTGAATATTCTGAATTCTTTCAAGAATCATACAGTGTCTGACACATAGGAAGCACTTCATAAATGCATGTTGTCAATTACTGACTGATCTGCTTTAAAAAAAATCAGGTGTTAATATCAGCACTTTGGAGAATACTGGGTAAATTGTAAAGTTCTACTGAGTTAATGTTGTGGTTGGTTATATTGGTTTGATTCAGAAGTATGATTTCATCTGTTCAGGGACCTCCAAGTGTGGAGATTCCTTCCGTTACTTCAGACTGAAAACCTCTAGCCAACATTTTAAAGAATCTCTTGTGACTCTTAGAGGTTAAATGACTACTCACTCATAGTCACACAGTCATTATCTACCAAAGGTAGGATTTTAATCCAGGTGTTCCCAACTCCAAGGCCAGCCCTCTATCCATGACGCTACACAGCCTTGATGACAATTAGGTTTCCACCTCTGTCTGACAGCCAAAGTCTTATTCTTGTGACCCTGGACTATGATTTGGTGACCTTTTATTTTCTCTTGCCTGCTCTAAGACCAACCTTACCACTTCCCAGTCACCTTATAGGATCATAAATTTAGGGCTTAATAAATGCTTGTTGACTTGATTCGTAGACTTTTGGAAACAACCAGGTACATTGGATAGAATCCAGATATTTTGGAAAGGACAATTCATTCAGAGTCAAAGGATTTGGATTCAAATCCTCACTCTTCTACCCATTATTTATATGATACTGGACAAATCATTCAACCCATGGTGGCCTTATTTCCATTCCATTCATTTTAACAAACATTTAAGAGGAGAATATGAAGACAAAAAATGTCCTTGTCCTTAAGAAGCTTATAATTTACCAAGGAAATGACAACATTCACGTAAGGAAGTAAATGCAAAGTAGATACAAAGAAATGTAGTATTGTCAAGAGGGAGATAGTGCTAATGACTAAAGGCATCAGGAAAGGTTCATGTAAAAGTTGGTAATTGAGTTCTACAAGATGATGGGATCAGACTAGTAACCTCTGAGGTTCCTTCCAGCTAAAAATGGGAGATCCTGTGATCTCCAATTCTGAGCAAGCTCTCACCTCGCACCCTAGGCCAACATCCAGATGCTTATGTTTTGCTCCCTTTGCCCATGTGGACTTCTGCATGACCCAGTATCACTGGGATAATGTTTGTTCAGAAAACTCTGTTTGTCTCTGTTTGGTTCTGTGATGAAATGAGAGTAGAGAGCTCCATCTTAACAATAGAGATTCACATCTTTTCTGCACTATATAGTCTTAGAGATTTTATTGGAACACTTCTATGAACTGCCCAGGATCACATGGCCAGTATATATAATAGATAAAATCATAGATTTTTTTTTATCTATAAGGTTCCTTAGAGGCCATAGCACCCAACTCTCTTATTTAACAAATGAGGAAACTGAGGCAGAAAGAGGTTAAGTGACTCGTCAATTAACTTGCTTTTAACTGCTTTTTATCGATCTGTATTTATTAACTTCAGATCAATGCTGTATATATTTTTATATGCATTTATCTCTCCCATTAGAAGGTAAGCTCATTGATAGTAGGGGCTGTTTCACTCTTTGTAGCTGTATCCCCAGAACTTAGCCCAGAGCCTGTGCGTATAGCAGGAAGCTTAATAAATACCTGTGGTTTACTGATTGCTGAAGGTCACACAGTCAGTATGTGTCAGAGGTGGGACCTAAATCCAGGTCTTTCTGATTCTCTGTTGGGTTCTTTCTTCATGAGACAGAATTGCCTTTCAGTGAATTGTAAGGGACCTTTAGATTGTGGATGACAGTGACTCCAAAGAGCAAACTGCAGATTTTTGTTAATGTGTTAATGAGATGAAACAGATGCAGCATGTACTCACACAACTGGGAGGTACTGGTTGAAGGAGCTTGGGTGAACTGCATTCTGATATGGGCAGGGAAGTGAAGTGAGTGGAGAGCAGCCACTCATTTCCTTACTTTGCCTTTCCTTAATGCTCTCCTTTGACTGGCTGTTAAGAAATTCGTCATCTCAGGGAAGCCCCTATCCTATCCAAGTTCACACTGTCTTATTGATCATCAAATTGTACTTTGGAAATTAAGCCATGATTAGAAGTCTTCCTTGTGGAATTAGATTCAGAGATTATTGCATGATGGGAAAATCACACCTAATGTATGACATAGCAGATGGAGACATTTTAATTTTCTTGGAGCTTTCGTTAAGTGTTCTAAAATCAAAACATTTTAAACTGTACCTAATATTGCCTGGAAAAGTACATCTGCATCTGCCTTCCGGGCTTAAAGATATATTTGTAATCTCACCCTCTCCCAGAGTTAATTTTGTGATGAATTGAGGATATTTCTTAAGAAGTTTCATACTTTTGAGAAAGGGTTCTTTATGGGTTTGCCAACTCTGTACTATGCCAGCATAATGCAGATGGTGGGGATTGAAAATGCCTTAGAATGCAGTGAATGAAACAGCAGGGTAGCTGTGTTTCATCCCTTCCTCTCAAAATACCTGCAAACACTCATCCATTAGACCTCACAATTGACTCAAATGGACAAGATGATTCATAGCAAGATGTGAAAGGGCCTGGGAGAAGTCAGAAGCGCACTAGGGCTCTTCCCTCTCTCCCTCACCTGCCATATCCAATCACATAACACGTCCTGAGGATTCCCCCTTTCCCAATCTCCCTCACCCATCCAATCCATCCTGAATACCACTGCTGGGATAAGCTTTTTTTTTTTTTTAACACAGAGATCAGAGGATATCACGGATTTAGAACTGGAAGGGGCGCCAGAGGTCATCAGATTAAATGCTCTCATTTTACCGATGAGCAAGCTGAATCTTAAAAAAAAGTTAAGTGACTTGCCCAGGACTGTATAGCTAGTGTCATGGGGGCGAAATGAGATTGGAACCCAGGTTTTCCTGACTCCAAGTCCAGCACTCTCTGCACTAGGCGATTCTGCCTCTCATCAATCTGCTCATGAGACTTCTCTACTCAAGAATTCTATCCCATGAGCAGACACTGTCATAGAGGAACTGGATTGTGGGGCAGATCGACAGGGCAGACGTGACAGATCAGGAGGGCGTAAATACTGTCCTGAAATGCAAGGAGGGAGCTTCTTCATAACATATGGATCATTTATTCATCCAACTATTATCATCTGTGGCCTTTCTCCCTCCCATTGCTGCAATTCATAAGGTGGATTCCTCAGAAAAGGCTACTTCTGAATTATGACACTCCGTGGGTCTGTATCCTCTCTAAACTATAACTCACAAGCCCCTTCTAATGTATTTACCTTTAATAGTTAGCCAGAGGAGCCAATTATTTCAAAGCAAAAGCATCTAGTAAAATAGCATAGCAAAAAAAGTAGTGATAAAACATATCTACCCATAAAACTGGGGCACACTTTGCACAAACACAAGCACTTGCAGTAGGAAGAATAGATACATATAGGAACTACGTGTGTAGAGGGGCACTTGTAAGGAACACACACGGCCAGGCCAGAGCACACATGCAGTTACCATGCCACGCTGCTGATTCTGCAGGGAAACTGATGCCTTCAGGGGATGACACCGTGCTGAGGTCTTGTCTGGATGTGTTAGTCTTTATTGAGACCTGTCCCACTGGCCATAGCAGAGTCTCTGCTAGACAGCACCACCGGACACATACATGCGGTCTTGGACGGATGCTACTCTTCTGGACACCGTTCTGCTCTATACTGCCTTGTATGAAGTAGTATAAGCGTCATTGATTCGAGAGTCAGAAGTCTTAGGTCCAAATCCACTTCTGGTAATTTGGACAAGCCACTTCCTGGGCCTTACTTAGTTCCCTCTTCTGTAAAATAAGGCTGGACCATCAACCCTGGGAGTTCCCTATGAGCCCCAAATATGTTTCTGCCAGCCACTACTCCATTGGATACTGTTTCATGGAGTTTCTGCCCATCTCTGCCAGGCATGTCCCCAATGAGAACATGGCTATGAAGCTTACCATTAATCCTAGTTTCTGACTTCAGCTGAAGTCCTTGGGTACAGTGCTATCATGAGAAAAGTAGGCTCTGCCACGCTCTTTTAGTTAAAACCAGAAGAATTTCTATTTTTTAGTAAGTTATAAAAGATACTTCCTCAGCAATAGATCTTCTTTAAGGAGTGGGAAGGAGGGAAAGTGAACCTTTTCAACATCTTCCTTTACCAAACAGTCTGTCTTATTCCTTTCAGAATTCTGACTATGAGGTTTCTCACCTCTTATAGGAGATTCTCAGCTCCAGATGCTAAGCTTTTCAGAACAAAGGGCTAGCTAAGCTTTAGCTAAGTAGATAGGGCCAACAGGCCCCTATCTTTTTTGTTGAAATGAATTTTCTGGTTGCTGGGTATGGTTGACCTCACTCTGGCTTATGGTGAGTATTTCATATATCTCAGTTTTAATTTCTGAAGGTTAGGCTACATTCGGTCATCAGCCAACAACTACAGGCACATGGTGAAGTTCTGTGATACTTTAAGTTTTGAATCCCAAACCCCTCCAACTCTCAATGCAGATGGATAGACAAAGAAAGGGCAGCTAGGTGGCACAGTAGATAGAATGCTAGACCTGGAGTCAGGAAGACTCATCTTCCTGAGTTCAAATCTGACTTCAGACACAAGCTGTGTGACTTTGGGCAAGTCATTTAACTTTGTTTGCCTCAGTTTCCTCATCAGTAAAATGAGCTGGAGAAGGAAACGGAAAATTACTCTACTATCCTTGCCAAGAACATCCCAAATGGGGTCACAGAGAGTCAGGCACTACCGAAAACCACTGAACAATGAAAAGATGAAGAAAAGGCAC